AGCTGGAGACCCAGGCAGACATTTTCCATGCCCAGAAGGGAATCTGTCCCATGTGTTCCTTTGTTAATAAACCCTATTTTGATGGAGTTTTAGCTGTGCCTCGGTGCCTCATCATCCATTCACTCATTCTCTGCCAATTTTTTACCTATCAGTAACTAATTCAGAAGTTGACACCAAGAATGAATAAACTGAATAACCTGACCATATTTTTTGGAAGAGTGTGGAAGATTTTGGATGTTTGGACTAGAAAAATGGTTGAATTCAGTAAGTGGAACTTAATGGACTTTTCTAGTAGAGGCCCACTCAAGATGTTCCACAGCTCAAGATGTTCCAGAGAGAGAGAGAGATGGAAACAAGAACTTAAACAGTGGCTAAAATATTTTGACTAGAAATCTGGCTGCTATCTGTCCAAGTCCTAAATTGTTGCCTGAGATTAAATTAAAATGTACTGGACTAATTTCTTTGGCAGAAGGAAATTCAAGACAGCCAAACATCGAATTTCTAGTGATACAGGAATACCAGGTTGTATTTGAGCATGATGGAGCCTTTCTTGGCTCTGTTGTGCTTAGCTTGAGAGGCTAAAGTCCCAGTCAGTGGCCACTAAAGCCACCTCAGGCCAGAGGTTTTCAGGTTCTTGTCTTATTAGGGTTTCAAACAGCAGCAGCCTCCCCCCTCCCCAACAGGGTCCCATGGACTTTGGATTTCTCAAGCCCGAAAAAGGGAACTGAGCTGATAAACACCTTGGCCTTTGAAGTCAAGGGAAACAGATTCTTCTAAGAGGCAGCCTACCTTTCCTCTGATCTCAGAAGACAAAATAAGCAGATTCTGCCTGTTAACCAGAGATTTTAGGAGATGTTTTAGGACAGCAGCTTTTCCCTTATCTTAGTAGGACAAAAAAATAAACACTTCCTGACCCAGATCCTGGCTGGCAGATGGAATGGAGCCAGGTTTACAAGCCCTGTTTTTCCTGCTTCCCTTCCCCGCCTGATTTTGTTCCCGAAAAACTTCCTGCCTTCTGCACCCTGAAGCCCCCATATATAAACCCCAGCTCACAGTCTGTGGGCTGACATAGTCCCTTCCCTGAAGGGAACGTGTCCCATGCGAAATAAAGCTTTATCCCGCTGACAGTTTTATCTGTGTGTTGGTGCCTCATTCTCCTTTCGCTTGTTCTCCCGCAAATTTTCATATATCAGTCTCCAGAATTTGAAGAATGAAATTCATGGACCACAGAGGGTGAGCTTTAGAAAGGAATATTTTATTATAGGGAGTTTAGGATAGAGAAAGCAATGCTCATGTACAGGAAGAGGGGTCCCTGGGAATGGGATACCACTGAGCTTCATTCCCCAAGAGTTAATAAGGATTTAGTGGAGGCAGGAGGGGAAAGGGAGATCAGTTGGTCAGTCCAGGTCCCATTCCAGGTTTCCAGGTCCCTGGAGGTCCTGGTCAAGTCCTCAGCATGTCTTCCAGAAACAGAGTATTATTACCTCAGAAAAAAAGAAAACTTGCCTCCCCAGCCACTGGCTATGGTGGAACCAAAGATATCTTTGGATTAGATAGTTCTGGCATCTCTATCCTCAGGTAGGGGCAAGACTACTGGCACATCCAATGAATTTCAGCTCTCAATTGGAAGAGAAACTGTCATTATTCTTTTTTGGTTTTTTTTTTTACCCTAAACTGCATAGCCAATTCCTACCTCCTGCTCTTATCATTGGCATGGTTTTTAATGGTCCATATTATTCAGATATATAATGAAACTAGCAAGTGGGGCAGAAAGAAATAAAAAGTGTTATTTCAGAGAAAAAGAGAACCAGGAAGTTTAATAATATAGCCAAGGCATGTTCTGAAAGACAGACTTTCTCTGGTAAGGGGATTCGAGCCATTGAGAAGAGGCATCAAAATCCGAATTTGAACAATTGAAGGAATACCCTCAGGGAAAGACACCACCCAGGTAAGCTTACAAGTTGTAAAACTAAAAAAGTTTAAGGAGTATTCTGCTTTTAGAAAATCACAACATACAGAAACTGATGATAATGTGGTCAAAGTGGGCCAAATAGCTGGCAGCAAACTTGCTGGTGTCATTCAGGTGGTACTGGTTTTAGAAGCTTGAAATATGCAGGAGTAAAGGGGTCTTCTGTTTATCTTCCCTGGTTTTAGATAGTTGCTGAGACTAGGCAGCATGCAGCAAGGGAAATTCTGCATAAAGAAGGCCTTGTGAGGTCAAGAGATTCTACCAGCCATTGTGTGAAGGTGTGAAGTTCAAGCCTCGTTTGCAGTGGAGACCCCAAGATATTGGATCCAGATTTGTGAAACATCTGCCAAGGAGAACTGTATACAAGGAGTGGTATCAGTCCAAGATATGTGTTTCAGACAGCAAATTTGGGGGCACTGAGCCATCTAAGCCCTTTGGAACTAAATTCCTAGACATCAGACATGGAGCTACAGGATTTAGTGTTAACCGAGCAGACTTTCAGTCTTACTTTGGGAAAGTATTTTCTCAATATATGTCCATTCCTCCCTTTTGGAATGGAATGCGTATTCTGTGCCATTGTACTTTGGAAGTATATAATTTTTCTTTCTGATTTCATAGGGGTGTACAGTAAAAGAGTATCTTGAGTCTCAGAAGAGTCTTTGAACCTTAGACTTTTAAATAGTATTAATACTTTCAAAGACTTCCGGGACTCTTAAAGTTGAGCTAAATTCGCTTTACAATATATGATCTTGAGCCTGCATGGGCCAGGAACTGAAATGTGGTGGTTTCTATGGAAGTGTTCTACATAGCCTTCAAGTATTTGAACTCTTAGTCCCCTGTTTTTCATGCTGTTTTGGGAGGATCACAGAACTTTTAGGAGGTGTGGCTATGCTGGGAGAAGTATGTCATTGGGGTTGTACTTTGAGAGTTCATAAGCCTTGTTCCAAATGTTTGCATCTTTCCCAGTTTCCTGTACCTGCTTGAAGATGTGAGCTCTTGGCTTTCTGCTCTGGCCACTTCTACCACCATGTTTCCTTGACTTGATGGGCTCTAATCCCTCTAGAACCATAACCCAAATAAACTCTTCTTTCTATAATTTGCATTGGTCATGGTGTTTCTCACAGCAACAGAAAAGTAAATAATAAAAAGTTTGTGATAGCTTCAAGAAATATCACAAATAATGCTGGTGTGGTGAGAACATAAAAGAAATTTCTATCAAAGAGAATGCAGGAGACAGGATGGCAGATCATTGGTATTCGAGAACACTTACTCAAACAAGTAAATGCAATGAGAATAGATTCAAAATGCTCACTGATAATTTTTTTATTGAGCTTTCAAATTTTCATACATTTCCCACTCACATCCAGACCCCTCCCCCATCCATGCCCCCCCCCACTGAACGCTATGCACTAAATATACAAAAGGAAAATATTTAAGTACACTCTCATATGAAATTGTGATTCAAAATTTCTGTCCAGTGGTTTAAATTCCTGGTTTTGTATAAATTGAGATTGAAATATATGGAAGTATGTAAAATCTGTGAAAATGAAGACTGAGTGATAGATTGATAGATCACAAATAGACATTATTGGGTTTCCAAACCAAAACAGCCCTCCCCATCTCCAACAGGGCCTCACAGATCTCATAAGCAAGCCCCCTG